CCCTGAATGACGTCACATTTTCAATCTTTATCCTGGTGGGCCGGTCTCTAGTCAAAATGCCCGGGCCGATATTTTGTCCCAGTCCAGCCCTGCTATAAAGTATTTTAAATGATATTGTCTTTGTGAGAATATGCAAATATGCAAAATTTGCTAACACATTTAAATCTAGTCCTTCTACCATCAAGAGGACAAAAAACAAAACAAAAGCTATATTTAAATTGTCATCAGCCACCTGCATCCTAATGAGGGCGTACAACATTTTTCTTTTAGTATTTAGTATAAACACAAAGCCAACAATGCAGTACTTCAACGTAATTTTCAAAGTGATTCCACTGCAGAATGTGCCCGCTGAAAGACTGCATAGGCTACAATGTTGTACAAGCCTGACTGCTCATCAATACTTTTGTTGCCTGTTGAAGTTCAGAATCTAGCTGTTACATTTAGCAATGATGCAATAACGCAATGTGTTTACGGTAATGCGTTTAACCCAGCACTTATCGTCATTTGTAGGCCTACATGTGGAAAAATAATGATATAATACAGTTTGGAAGCCGAATATGATGGATTTTTGAGTTTATTTTCAATTTATCACTGTCTGCAAACAAACAGCCTATAAGGTAACATTAACCACAACAGCAGATGCCAACACACACAAACACACACAAGATACTACACTAACTAACTTTCACCCACTAGAAATGTAGCACATTTCCCCTGACGTGTTAAAAATGTCAGCGTCAGCGTCATTAGACTTGTTCTTAACCCTATAATGCCCTTTGTATCATATTTGTTACATGAGTTTCTGAGACCTCTATCTCATCTACATGATCAATACTTGCAATAATATCAAAATGTTATGTACTAAACTCTCTTTTTTTTGGTCTAAAATTAAGATTGTTGTCAACAAAAAGTTGCCAAAACACCCAATGTATCAAATGTGATACAAAAAAATATAATAAATATATAATGAAAATATATAATTAACAACATGATATAGAAAAAAATGTAGATTTTGTTAGTGTTAATACACATATCAGTTCCCAAAAAAATCTGAATTTTTTCACTATTTTGTGATGGGTTGGGTCTTACAGGGTTAAATGAAACCAAAGTATAAACGACAAAAACACAGACAGAGACAGCCATGAAATGGAAACACTGACAGTACAATTAGTGTACATCTTTAATATTGGTGAAGACTGTTGTTGATGATTAGTGAAGAAGTTCACTTTTCCATAAATGTCACAAAATGTTACAAAATCACAAATCAGATAAAACTAATTCTGATTTATTTCTGATAAATCTAAACCAAACCAAAGCGATCTGGGCTTTTCACATGGGACTCTGGAGACACAACGGTTTGCAAAACTCAGTGTATTTTTGCTTGTATTACCGGTAGGCTTAGTTATTTCCTTTTTTCTACAAGCACCATCATCTGTTCTTTCAAATATGAAAGCTGGCAAAGTATTGATATAGATTCCAGAGTTATTTTCATAGTCATTTTGGTCGTCTTTGGGTGAATCTCCTGAACCTGCAGGAAGCTTGAATAAAGTGATATTTTCATAGGTATCAGCGAGTACACTACGTTTGGTTGCCGTGGCATCAGATGTTAAAGGATCTGCTCTTTGTTGGTGAGCAGAGACAGATGAACTCTTAGGAGACTTGTTACTACCCTTTGTCCTCTTGTCAGTGTCATCATAACCACAGCTGCCCTGTTGACAAGTGAAAAAGAAAAAAAATCAGCATGCTCTTATATGATCCGCATTTATTGGGTTTGTGTAGAAAATCAATTTTTAAATGATTATTAATTTAAGTACAAAAAAATGGATTTCTGTGAGTATCCATACATTTACAATTATCTGGATCTGTGTTACAGAGTAACCAGTCTAAGCAAAGCTGATCTACGTACCTCACCCTAGTGAGGTACCCAGAGCTGTAACTCTGTCAAACAAGCTCAGTCCCAAAGAAAACAGATTAAAGTGTGTTTTAAGCTCGTTTTTAACAATTCATTGGACAGGGTCAGTCATTTCCTAACACTGATTTTTGGCTAATCAGTGCATACTGCAGAAGCTAAAGAAACTCTACCAAAAATAAAACATGAGATCTAAAATATTGAATGATACCCTTCAGTGATGTTGTTGCACAGGTTTATCTGTGGATAGAGGCAGTATAAAGAATATTTTTCTACCATTACATGTAAAAGAAATGCATGAGGGTGGTAAGAGTATTTTTTCATCTAACAGCGTGTTAGTTGTGTTTTGATATAACACAGAAGGATTTACTCACATTATACTCCTATAACTACAAACATGAACATGGTTTTGTGCTTCAGTTTATATTCCCTCTTTTTATTTGTGTACTACTTTCATAGTGATCCCCGTTTTCTGACTCATACCTCTCTTTTGTTTGCACTGGTGAGGTCTGCACCTTTGGAGCAAATTAATTGTTTATGTTTTGAGGTTTTTCTGGACTTCCGGAAACATACTGCCAGCAGCAAGACGGAGATCAGACCAACACCACCAACGGTAGCAAACACGATGGTACCTGATGAAAACAAGACAATTATCAGATCTTGTTCATGTAAACACTTTAAGCCAATAAGCTATTAGCTAAGCTAATATCAAACAAAACTTTACCTGTGTTGATTTTAGGTTCTTCTTCAGCTGTGAAGTTTAGGGCTGTAGGAAGAATTAAGTATTACTTCATGTAAGTTTATCTGTGAGTCACATTCATAAGGACTGATATGTGTATGTATACCTGTTGAAAGTTCTATAGGCTCCATGGTTCCTGTTCCAGTTGTGAAGTTTGTTGTGTTGGTATTTTGATTTGTCCATGTGGCAACTCCCGGTATGAAAGTTGTCACGGTTGCAACAGCTGTTTAAGAGAGTGGTTATTTACAAGGTATTTATACTATTTGTACTTACCTTTGTCAGAACATATACAACACCACTTCCAAAAAAGCTGGGATGTTGGGCACAGGTTCACCAATATGGGTGAACCTGTGCCAGTTTCCTCGGTGTGACAATAATCAAGAGATTCAGAGAATATGTAAAACTCTTTATAAGAGATAAGCCTGATACTCAGTACTGGATGTCCATGACGTTTGGGTCCTCAGTTGGCACTAAATTAAAAGCAGCATTGGTTCTGTTTTTATCTGTTTTAATTTAGTGCCAACTAAACCCCTAACCCTAACCCTAATTAACTGCATCAAAATCATTGTCTGTGAACAAAGTTAACAATGCAATCCACAAGTGCAGGTTAAAGCTCTGTCCTGTAAAGAAGAAGTCATATGTGAACAAGATCCAGAAATACCACCGTCTTCTGTGAGTAAAAGTTGATTTTAAATGCACTGAGGCAAAGTTTAATGTGTTCAGACAAATCAAATCTGAAATTCTTTTTCACAAAAATAGGTGGTGACCATCATTGTTGAGATCGGGTTGAGAAGCGTTATATAAGAAGTGGTCCATTTACCACAATTATTGTGAACCACAGGATTATAAACATTTATAAATGCAATTCTAAGTATCATATATAATAAAACCTTAGCTGTAATAAATTTATGTTTATTTCTCTGAAATCAAAAAGCCATTTTTTCATAACTGTTGTGTAGAAGAAGTAGTAATAAAAGCAAAACATTGAAATATGATAGTGCAGTATGAGCGGGTAAAATTGTACAAAACTTTGTTGTTAAATTTATTTCGTTGCATTAACCCACAAACTGGGAATTGTACCTGCATGAATGTAAATACAAATATAAAGTTAAGCGTATTCATGTATACCTACCATTCTTTACTGTTAGGTGTACCTCAGCATATGTATCGAAACCAGTCCGCTCCACAGCACACCAGTATTTCTGTGAGTCTGACAACTGAAGATTGCTGAAGGTCACAGTGAAGAATCCATCCCCAGAGTCCACCAGAGCAATCCTCCCTGACTCTGCTCTTCCTCCAGATTCGACAGTAACCAGTATGTCTCCTGTGCTTTTACATGGATCTATGCAGAAATACTTGTTGTTGCTCCATGCATATGTGTGTGAGCACTGGAAGGACACACTTCTCCCTTCAAATTCCTCTACATTGATTATGACTCCATCAATCAATGTAACTGTTGAAATTGAAGCAATAATGTAATAAGTCATGTAGTAATAATAATAAGTGATGTGATAAGATACAAGACATCAAAATAAACATTTAAATGACATAAACTACTAAACTTGTGTAGTCACTTACCATATAAAAGGCAGTAGAGGAAAGAAGTCTTCGTCATTGTAGCTGAAAAAGTGACACTTGTACGTAGTTCTTTATTTTGAGTGATCTCTTAGACTCTACATTTACACATTACAACCCAGACCTGCTTCTGGAGGTCTGCTGTTAATCTGACTTTTTAAGGTTTGTGGGCACAAAGGGAGGAAATGACACCTACACAACCCACAACCTCGTTTATGACAGTTTCTTTTTACCGTTTCACGAACATTGTCAGTAGCTATATATATATAAATACTCTATTATACTCTATTCCTTATGCAAATAAAAGCAGTGAAAAATCACTGGCTGAGCAGGAGAGGAGATGAAAATAGTTTTTGATTTCGTTTTTTCCGTTGTTGTTTTTTTTAAATTACAGAAATGTTGGATAATTTCACACAATATCATAAATTTAATTGTAGCAATTGTTTAATATTTTGGAAACTTAATTGAATGCTTTTTTTGAGACAGCAATTTCACAGATATATATTAAACTGTTAACAATCGTCCTGGTTTGAAATTTGAAATGTTTGTCAAAATGTCTTCTTCTGTAATTACACTCCTTTTACAAACAGCCAAATACCGAGGTTTTCATTAGTACAGATATATTTTGAATATTTTTAGGTGCTATCTCAAACCTTTCAGTCAAAGGCTGACAGGTCAATAGTTGGCAGTTTACTTATAAGAGTCATTGTGTTTTAGAGTTATGGTTTTGTGGTTTAAAAGCTGTCAGTGTCTACCCCTGACTTCTATCACCAAGAACATCCTTCCTGTAAAACGAGTAATCAAGACTTTCTAGCAGACATACATGTGAGCATGTATAAGCAAACACATGTACAAACAACACTATACTAAAATCATGTCTCGTATAAAACAAAACAAAACAGTTATATTAAAACATTAAAGCAAAGCCACTTTACAAAATGAACATGTGTTTTAATGCCACTAAAGAAAATATTTTTTTGACTCCTTATGAATAATCCAATAACAAAATGATCAACTGGTTAAATGCTGTATGATCTTGCATGCATGTTACACTGAAGCTGGGTTTTTTTTTTTTTTTATCTCAGTGCAAATAAATCTGCCTACAAAAGTCGCTTCACTCTTCTGTGTAGTTTCTTTAGGGTCTAGTAAGTACAATGAGTGACATGAACTGACAGACAA